GTGTATTTCTTTAAAGTTAAGACTAGTTTAAAGTTATCTTCATTGAAAAGTACTGTGCTTTTCCTTCAAAAATAAGGACATTTCAATGTGACCCCAAACTTTTGAATGGTAGTGTATGTATCAAAATACGTCCTAGTTTATTATTGAATTCTGCACTGTATTTTCATACAGTTAACCACTTGTTACTTATTGTTTAATATTTGCCTCAGTGTGAGCGTCCATCTGCTGGGGCCGACTGGGGTTCAAGGAGACAGAAGCAGACATACAAAAAGAAGCAAAGATAAACCAGCTCTATAGTTGGACCTTTCCAGGGCCTACCATGTCAGAGGATGAGGCTAAAACAATGAGAAAATGCAGAGAGAGCATAAAGTTAGAGGTTGGAATGACAAATACTGCAGAATGGGAGAACAGAGAGAATGATTAAAAGGGCTTCCTATGTCCTCCAGCAGTCTAAGGCTATAGCAACATAATCATAGAGATAGTTCAAGACAACCTGAGCCACTCAATCTGTAAGCTATATCAAAAAGGAAAGTTTTAAGCCTACCCTTAGTAGACAGGGTGACACTGTTCAGATGGTGGATCCTCTTGAGTCTAGACACTTCTCCCAGTTTCCATCATCTTCACTACTCAAGATACTCAGGACCCTCCTCACTGCTCTTAAAATGTTCTCACTTTGAGAGTTCCTTTGAAGCCTTAAGTGCCTGATGAATAACTTTAACCATACCAAAGTAAAATAAGAATTTTTACGTTTTTTTTTTTTACTTCATTATGAGCTATTTTTTGTCTTGGGAATAACTGCAGCACCTTTAGAGTTTCCAAAGACCCTATCCATACACAGCCTGTCAGTTCAGGTTCATAAGCTGACATGGTAGCTTTGTAGTTATGAAGAGAGGTCTGTGAGATGCCCAAAGCCTTTATTGTTTTTCCAACCCTTCTTTAAACTTTTCCACAGCTTTGCTCCCAACCTGTCTGCTGTATTCCATAATACTGACTGATTGCTCATTTCCTTTAATAAACTTTGGAGGCCTTCACAAAACTGCTAGAAGTATTCAGAGATCAAACCACACACAGGTGGACATCTCCCAGTCATTAATAAGACTGGACCTTATTTAAGGGGTAATCAGACCAAAAGGGGCAGATTACAAATGGATTCCTTTCTTTTTAGATATTTATTTTTAATCAGTCTGGAAATGTTTCTTCTTTCAATTCATGCATCACTTTATCAATATGAGAACATTAGTTTTGTTAATGGAGTGGAATGGAAAGAAAAAAGATGAACACAGTGAGGACAGACATTTGCCTTATGACCCATGGGTAGCTTAGAGAAGGAAGCTAGTTTATTTCAGAAGAAACCAGAAAAAGCAGCATAATGAATGCATATTTTCATAACTTCTATTTTTTTTTTTACATTCCGCATTGCTTAATTGTTTTAGGAGGCTGGGTTGTACCTTAGCAGTGGGAAGTTGGGCACTTTCTGGACTTGTTTCCCAGTTTATATCAGAGACACATGAAATAACCAATGCTGCACTCAGGCTTTGACATCTAAAAGTATTTTGTAATTGCAAGTTAACAGTCACCTTTTAGTACTTTAGCATGAAACAGGAAGGATGTCCATTAGGAGGGAAAAAAGGCTACCAGTCTGGTCTGTTTTTTTTCTTTTACCTGAAGGTGAGAAGCAGATATTATGGCTTAAAAGATCTTTATATATTTGAGGTGAGTTAACCTTACACCCCCCCCCCCCCCCCCCCCCCCCCCCCCCCAAAACATACACACATACTTCACTATTTTTGAAGTGACCCTTATCCTAATCCTAACCATTACGGATTGATACCTAACCCCAACTCAAACTCAATTAACACCTTAGTCCTATACTTGACCCTTGACTCAAGGAGCAGCCAGTCCCTTCAACGTGCTATTTTCCCTAAAAATGGGCCCCTGCAAGAGCACAAACACACAAACACAAACTAAACTTCTACCTTAAAGCATGCAACGACCCACACACTTTATGATACTGTGCGTGTAGTTTGAATACGGATGTCTACCCCTTTGCACGGCTGTTTTCTCTCTCTAGCATGTGAGCAGATGTAGGTCTGTGTGGGGGAGCGGTTTGTCTTGACACAGTCAGAGAAGAAACCATGGTTTACATTTCTTCTGCTTCACACAAACTTACAGCAGATGTAAATAAAGATATTTGAGCCGTAAGAGGGGGAGTGTTTCCACAAAACACTACGACTCTAAGCTGCATTACAATAAAAGTAGTCATCAATAATGATCCGCACGTAGAAGATCTGCTGCATCTCATTTCAGCCTTTCTTTTCCATTTAGTTTAACTGATTTCTGTCACTGCTGGGAAGAACAAAAAGAACCAAACAAAACATTATATGACGAAACCTTTCCATTTAATGTCTAAAATGTGAAATGAACAGAAACTCGGCAAGAAAAAGACTGAGAGACATTCTAGATGTTTCCATCACGTCAGTCTGACATGAGACATGAAGAGGGACGAAAAAACACCAGAGGCGATGGTGTTCTTTAGGCTTTAGGTTTAGTGCTCCGGATATGACCTGCGGGTTTAAAACCGCCTCATGAATCATACACAGTCGTGTGTTATTTTCAATTGAATGAAGACTGAAAAACTAGAAGAGGGTTTTTTCATGTTTATTTCAAATAAACACATAGCAATCTTAAAAAGGTAGAAGTCAGAGTAAACCCCCCCAAAAGAGACAAACATTTAAATATCTCGCAAATTTACCTCTGCACCAATATTTAGCACATAAACAAACACACACACAAAGTTTGATCATACAAATGCAGCATATATTTCAAAGCTAATAAAAGTTTGAACCCTTGGAGTGGCGTGTATATATGTACTTATAAACAGGATCTAGCCACACACTGAAGCAACAACTCCCTATTTACGACTCCTGCCAGTAGTTTTACTGTTACTATGCTATCAATAATTTTTTCAACTATACAAACAACATTGGAGGAAAGTAGTTTGATTAGATAGTTATAGGTTTAGGTGGTAATTTTACATACACAACAGAAGCAAAAACGTAGAATAAAAAAGACAAAACATATTAAACAAAGTTGGACTACGAGTTGTATGATGACAAGAATGACAATAACATTTGTCCCAATATTTAAATAATCGCTTTATGTTTTGTGTCTTCAGAGGCTGTTTGGATTTCAATTTGTTTATAAAAAGCATTTAAATTAATACTAAATAATAATCTTTATTATTTGTTTTGTAGCAAAATTGCATATTGCATCTGATATGCTGCTCAATAACTGTCATGTTTTTTTAAAGCAGTATTTGTGTTTGTGGGGCTTTAACTTTGGCCACACATTTGATATGAAATAACAGATGATATTTTAAGTGCTTTTTACAGTTACTTTTACCATGATCAGAATCGTATTACTTGGTCATGTTATGGTTTCCATAAAATGTCCACCAATTAAAAAAAAAAATCTCATAAAAATCAGATATATTTCAAGTTCCTGTCCATACCTACATGGCAGTTGTTTTTCCAGAAATAGTTTGATTCTAATGCCGGCATTAAGAGTCACAAAATGACCTGGAGTTCTTTTTTTTTTTTTTTAAAGAAATAAAATACAAGCTCAAAAATCAAATGTCAGAATACAGTTTGTATGCAAAAAGACGAGTTTGAATTTACAAATAAATTGCGACTTGGTCAGAAATGAAGAGATTTGTTTGGATGGTCAAACACTTTACAGAGATCTTCCCCAAAAGGTTTTTTTGGGAGCCGATCTCATAAACTGCAAATGCTTCTTTTTTATATATAAAACGTGCATAAGCAGATTTATCATTGGATTGAGGTTAAATTCAAACCTGCAGAATCCAGTGATTATGGCTACTACAAACATGATTGATTCTCTCCTGCTTTTGTTGATGTTGCCGCCGAGGATATGTTTCTATCCCGTCCTGGTGACTGCACTGTTGTTCATAGTTGAATAAGTATCCGACATGGTATGAATGTTGAGCGACTGCCAAAACAAAAACAAAAATTATTTTTAATGAGACAATTCAAGGTGTTTCAACATCCGATTTCTAGTTACTGATGGTCTCAGTTATATATTTCAATGTTTTTTAATAAATTTTTGAATAAAAAAAACAACCCTAGTGGTTCAGCTTGCTCTCCACTATGATCAACTGAGCCTCTGGAAAGTTTTTTTTTTTGGGTTGTCTGTTTTGTTTAGTAGAACCTACCTCATAGTCAGGACCTGGGACAGGTGGAGCCCGGCCTCCTTGTCTGGAAGTTGCTGGAGAATAAGGAGAGAATAAATGTGGTAATTTCACTTATATGAATAATAATAATGTTACCAGAGCTGATCTGAGCCAAGTCTTACGTTTAGTGGGTTTGGATGGTTTGTCTGGTTTGTTTGTTTGTGATTGGCTTTTCTTCTTGGAGCACCTGTAGATTATCAGGATCACAACTCCTGTCCCAATCAGATCCCCAATGATGATGATGATGAAGATCTGACCGTCCAGTTCAAAGCAGTTCTCACAGGCTGGAAAATAACAATGAGCAGCTAAATTAGACTTTGCTTAATAATACATGTAAATGACAATATAATCGAAAAGCATTTAAACTCACCTCTTCCTTTGATGAAGATGAGATATGGTTTTGGAGAATCTTTACATTCGAGTTGGATTTGTTCGTTATATTCAAATTTATTATCAACTTTTTCATTAGATTTATAAAGATCCGCATCATTTGGACACTTTACTGTTACATCCTTTCTCCAGAAATCAACTTTTGCTTTGAACAGAGTAAAACATATTACATTATTTTAGTGCATATATTTTCAATTAAAAAGCTACTTACAAGCAAAACTTCTCTGTTATATCAAATCACATACTATACACACCATAACTTATAGATACAGATATAATCAAAATGTTTTCATAACTGTATTATAGATGTCTCTACCTGCATAGGATGAAAAAGGATAAGAAAAAACAAGATTCATGCATGGGTTAAGCAACCTCTATACCGGAAATGTCTTCGAAAATTCAAAAAAACATAAAATTTTGCTGAAAAGAATGTGCTTTTGTAATGTTTAATTTCGAATCTATTTGTTTACCGTAAAACTTGCATCACTACAATGCAAAACTTTTATATTTTTACCTTCATCCATCTTCACAGTGGTTGCGAACATGAGGACGACGACGAGCACGGCCTGAACTCCATGGAGAGGCATTTTCTCAACAAAGTTTTCTTTAAAAAATTCCCAAATGTTCTAAAGTTTGCATCAAATTTGTAAATGTCTCCTAAAATATATGAACAGCACCAAACTGCCTTTTTTTAAAATATACTAGGAAGACAAAGGGAGGTGGTAGTTCTTCCCCTGACTGTCTGCCTGGTGTACACACAAAGACACATACACACACCTAGCTGTACAGGAAGTGCATCTTTTGTTCAAGATGAATTCGCAGTTAAACCTCAAAAAAATGATGTCAAACTGCAGTACAGTGTGGGGAGAGACTCCTGCTTGCTTCCTGATTTAATCCAGATCAAGAACCATGGAGAGCGAAAAGCTGTAATAGAAGGAACCAAATATTTAGATGTGGTTGATTTAAATCATAGTGTTTTCCTGTTTTCCGTTTCTTTTTTTCATTCTACATTTCTGGTGTGTTTTATCATGTTCTTTCTTTGGAGATTTTTAAATCAAAACCTCTAAAGTCCCTTTTATTTTCCAACTGCTTGCTACTGGATTACATCCTCTTCCAGAATCATCTTAATCTACCAATATCCTTAACTTTGAAACAGTGTTTTTCAAGCATTGCAAAAATCTTGCAGTTAGAACTTTAAATCCTGAAGTGCAACAAAAGATTAATGTTATGACCGTCTTAAGTATCAGAGATTTTCATTGTGTATTACCCCTCATTATTTGACTGTCCCTAAACCAAACTAAACTAAAGCTCTCTTCCTTTCCTCCATATAAGTATTTTGTTCATCCTATATCCTTTTGTACTACACCGCCATCTGGAGGTTAACCCTAGTGTTCGGTTGTAGTCTTGCACTGGCTTAAAGGGAGCAAGCAGAAGTATCAGATTCCTGAATGAAAAATGGGGAAGTAGATTGATCAAAGTTTGGGTAAAAATCTGATTTTATTACTTTATACATAGATTGTTCTCAAACACCAAAACAAACAAACACATTTGGAAAAGATTTATGCTAGATTAAAGTAAAACAATCCAACCCTTCACATGTCATGATTGTGATGCAGAAAAAAAGCAATGATATTATATTACAATAACATATAAAAGTCTACAATAAGAACAAATCATAAAAAGAAATGTAACTGCCCTGCCTTAAACATCAAATTGTGAATAAAATGTCATATTTGAACTGTTTTAGTCACACTTATTTTATAAAATAGTTTGAGATTAGAATAGAATTCCGGCCTAACCAAGTTAGTGATAAATATTTTATCCTAACCTCTCTGATATGTTGTTTACAGCATTTTTCCTCCATCTGGTATCTAATTTTCTATTACATTTTAAAAGATGCATATAAATTGGAATTAAAACATGTCTGTAATGTCACACAAATATGCATTAACTGTTTTAATTAATTTCCCAAAATCGGCTTAGATAGGCTATAGTTGCCTAGACCCCAGATAAGTCCAGGAAAAGCTTTCTTTTTTTTCTGTCTCATGAGTAAAAATGTATACATACCTAGAAATACCAAAAACAGCTTCAAATGACTGTTGTCTTTCCGTTGGTAAAATAGTTTGAAGGAGATGTGAAAAAACTTAATTAGGAACAGGAATTAAGATAGCAATTGTATATTTATAATTGTTTAATTTTCTTCCCTTTTCCATATGAACACAATCATGCAGATGTCTAAATAGGTTTAAACCTATGAATTTAGAAAAAAATCTCCAGGTCTTAGAAACATCCTGTAAAAGACTTTTAAATGTCCTGGAGCCCAAAACAACCGGCTGAAATTTCTTTGCTCAAATGATAATAAAATAATGGTTAATAAATGTTGCCCAAGTGTTGTAATTTGTCTTACTCTATTTCTACGCCCTTATTGCTCAGGTCACTTTGTAAATAAATCAATAATCTCTTTGACTATTCTTGCTGGTTTAATAAAATCGATTTGACAAATAAATACAGAAAACAGAATATTCTTATGAATACGAGGAAAAACTTCGATAACATTTTTTGAATCTGAAAAATATTCTGGCAGCAACACAAATTAGCTGCTATTAAGTAACACAAAGAGGTCAAACAATCAAATAATCATTCTAATTTTACCATGTATAATTCAAATTGGTATTTTAACCTATTGGGTGACTTATTGCTAATTTTGTTGATCAATTGTAAATGTTTGCTTCTTCTGACCTCCCCCATGATGGGCGTCTATCCTGTCTTGTGCACCACAGCAGAGTACGTTTCCGTTGCTTGAGTGCTTGGATTCAGCGACTGCAAAGACACAAACCAAACAAGGTTTTAGTTGATATGGTTGGGTTGCAGTTCACAAACAAAACAGTAAAGAATAATTTGAATAAAATCTAACTTGGTTTCCAGCTAATTTACTTACGAACTAACTTGAAAGGTTAAACTGTACTGCTCCCTTTGAAAAGCACAAAATTAAGCAAATTAAACAATAAAAAAGTCCCTTTTTGTCAGCTAACAAACAAATAAACCTGGATAAAAAAATTAAATTAATTATCTCATTCACAGAAATGTCAACAGTAGATAAAAAAATTATTATTTCGCCTGCCCATCCATTATAAAAAAATAATACACTAAATAAAACAGAAATATTTTAATAGTAATACCTTTTTCTAAATAGATTTAGATAATTTAATCTGTTGTAATTATTTTATTAATTTTTTTCCTGAAAGACAATGGATCCTCAGTACATTTTCTGCAACTTCGCTTCATTTTCAAAGAAACACATTTCTCAGTTAGTTATTAAAAATGCAAAACCAAAAGAAAAAATAAACTTTTTTATGCATTTCAAAAAAGTTATTTGTTGTGTTGCAAAAAAATATCATTTGCTTTATTAAAAATAATCTATTGTAAAAAAAATTGGTCTCAACTGAAATAAATGCATTGATTCCCCTAAAATCTTTCAGCTTTTGTTGCTAATTTATCGTAATTGTTCCTTGTTCTGAGTAACCTGATTGCTGTCTGCAGAAAGGAAGGTTTTACTGCTCATGCGTGCCCTGAAACGCTGCCTCAATTAAGATAAACTAAGTCGTTTATCCCTCACTGTAGCTATAACTTCAAGTCACATGTTGTGATAGAGTTAATAATTCTCCCATCAAACACTTAACAAAATGTATTTGATGCTCTGACATGACTTTAGTAGCCCTGCTGCTGCGTTGTTGTTTAATCACACCGTATCGGCGCCTTTTTGATGCTAGAGGCGCAGTGTGGGGGGGCCTTCTCCTCACTTTGATGAAAAGCTTGCGCTTCGTTTGTTTTTGAGTTTAGATCGAAGGATTTGATTAGACCATAACAGACGACTAAAAGTGTGCTTATTATAGCTCAAATGAAGAGAAAATCAGTTTGAGATAAAAGAAGAAGGAAAATAAAACACAAAAAGTGTTTTTCTAACAGAGTTCGTGACACCACCCACCTCATAGGCAGAAGATTGCTCCTGTCGAGGCCGACTTCTACGTACTACAACAAATAAATAAAACAGAAAACAATCAATGAGAATAAAGTACTTTGGTTCAATAAGCAGAAATGTGGTTTTAAGTCCATTTCTACCTCTGGGAGGTGCATCATAGATCACATCTGGTTGTTTCTTCTTGAAGCAAACGTAGACCATCCTCATGACAACTGCGGTCACGATCACATCCACGAGGATCACCAGCAAGAAGAGATATCCGTCCACCTCATAGCAGTTTTTACAGGCTGAAGGAGAAAGAAGATCTGTCAAACTGGGTCTTTAAAAGCTGAAAGGAAATAAAAGGAAATCTGTTTTTACGAACCTTTCCCTCTTACGTAGAACGAATATATTTTTTCTGTGTCACCTTCTTTGTATACACAGACGTATTGAGCTACGCCTTTGAACTCAACTTCAAGAGTGTTTGAATCATTTTTAATGATTTGTTTTCCATCTGACCATTTTCCTTTTTCTGGACAGGTCATAGTGACATTGCCTCTCCAGACTGTGACTCCTCCTTTTACATATATATAAAAAAAACATTCAGTAAATATCTTATGGTGATATTCAATTCTTCAATCAAATTGCGATGGATCAAATGAACTAAAGGGTTTGAATTCAGCAGCTGAAGGACATTAAGATAAAGTTGAACTTTTTATTTAGAGATATGAGGTTATGTATTGGTCTTACCTCCAGATAAAATATTTTAGCTTAACATGCAAACCAAGGTATGACAGAACTGGCGGCTGCTCACCTTTTTGAGCCTCCACAGCGGCTACAAACATGAGAAGGACGATGAACGCCGCCTGAACACCCATTCTGTGTCTCTTCACTGCTTGCTTCTTGAATCCGTCGTAAATCTGTGAAAATCTCCTTTAGAAATTCTAAATCAGACTCAGCAGGCTTGTTAATGTTAGAATGAGCCCCTCTATCTCTCTTGTGCACACTAATGAACTCACTGAACACACACACATTTAGCCTTACAGGAAGTGTGTGCTTTTTTCAAGATGATCTCTCTGTTAAACCTCCTTCTGAAGTCAAACCGAAGGGTATAGAAATGCTTTAATTCCTGATTTATTCTATTAAAAACAGCAACAACAAAAAAAAATTAGGTACAAAACATTGTGGAACCTCAGAATACAAATTATTTATTCAAACAGGTGAAATGTGTCGTGAAAATGTGTATATGGAAGCAATTTTTAACAATCAAGTTGATAATTTTAACCCTTTAAAGCCCGATCCAAGAATAAAACAAAACAGAAAATTATTTGGTTTGAAGTCCTTATTTGGCCTTTTAACTAAATATGTAAAAATAAAAAACAGAAATACATTTTTGATATTAATAATTTATTACTATGCGATAAGTCAAGATTATTTTTTGTGTAGTCTCCTCCCCCCTTTGTTATCAGGTATATCTGATTGTGTATAATAGGATTTTGAGCAAAGTTTTTACCATTAAATTATGCAAAAGGTGTCAGACGCAAAACATTTCAGAAACCGTATGTATCAAATATGATACATTTGGCATTATAGGGTTAAATAATAATCACTAATATATACAAAATAAAAATATTCCTACTAATGAAAACAGATGATAATAAGCAAAGTAAGACACCCACCTGAACCCACCAAGGTTTCTTTTCTTTATTTTTAACCAGGAACCTCTTTATTTATAGGAGTAACCAAAACAAACAGCTTTTAGGATGCATATCTTGGCATTACTGGTATCCCATATATTACCGCACTGGTAGCTCCTATGTAAGCTTGTTTTTTTCTGCATTTTTTTCTGTTAGAACAAGTTTCATAAGGTTGTGATTGCACACATGATTCACAAATGATGGAATGTAACCAAAATCATTTTAAATAGTGAATGGCCTGTACTTATATAACATATTTTAAAGTCAAAGGACTTGACCAAAGTGCTTTACACTGCATTCAGTCATTCCCCACACACTCACACACTGATGGTGGCAAGCTACATTGTAGTCACAGCTGCCCTGGGGTTCACTGACAGAAGCGGCGCTCTGACCACCATCAGTAGGCAATGCATGTGAAGTGTCTTGCAAAAGGACACGATACTGAAAGCCAGAGCTGGGGCTTGAACAACCCTTCAATTTCAGGGCCCTCTTATACATTTTAAGGAAATGTCTAAGAAAAATCTGATCAAGTCAATTGCTTTTAAAGAAAGATGCAATAACCGTATACCGTAAAATTCAGTTAAAGACTAAATGGATTCAGAGATGCCGTCTGATCTGATATTCGATATAAAATGTCCTTATTTAATTTATAGTGTAATATTTTTTCCAAAGTTCTCTATGTGAGAAAGACCAGTCAGATGCAAATGTGGTGGTAAGTTTATCTGTACAGCACATTTTAGATGATTCAAAGTGCTGGACATGATGGGAAAAAGCATAGAGGTAACACTATAACCTAAGAAAAATGGGAATAATCAAAAACAAACGTGATTAAATAAAAAGACTGAAGATAACGTAACTAATAATGTTTTGATTGCACAGTCAAAGGTCACTCTAAACAAATATGTTTTTTTTTAAACCACACTTTCAACTTATTTTCATCACTTGTAAAATTTTTTATAGGTTATTCAAGGAGCATAGGACCTAAAAACCGATTCTCCTTGTTTGGTTCTCAGTATGTAGATTAGATATGAGGTCTGGGTAGTTCATATAATGACTTTCATGTATTTTATATTTCAACTATTCAATGATTTTTTTTCTTACTTGCTTTGATTCTGTTTTATTTTTCTATATTTTAATAATGTAAAACACTTTGCTTTGTCTTTGTACTGAATTGTGCTATACAAATAAATTTGCTTTGCCTTGCCTTGCCTTGCCTTATAGACCTACATAACTTTATGTAAAGTGTGTTCTTTGAGACACAGGGAGCCAGTCTAAGGATTTTAGAACCACAGTGATGTGGTTCTTTATTTCAGTGAGGACGCTAGCAGCAATATTCTGGATCAGCTGCAGCTGCCTCATTGACTTTTTCAGCAGACCTGGGAAGACACTGTTGGTGTAACCAAACCTACTAAAAATGTTAAATATCCTGCTGAGACATTAGTCCTTTAATCCTGGAGACGCTCTTTAGCTGATCGAAGGCCGACTTAGTTCCTGTCTTTATGAGCCTCTGAAGGTTCAGGTTTGAGTCCATTACTACACCCAGATTTAGACCCTGATGCATGTTTCTAGTTGGATTAACTTCTGAAATCTCCTCCTTTGGTACAAATATTATTAGCTCTATTTCAGTTAATTCACCTAAAGAAAGTTTTGGTACATCCATGGATTGATTTCTTCAATTTGGATGGGCTTAGTCACCTGGTGACATGGTAATGTACAGCTGTGTGTCATCTGAATAGTTATGGTATCTTATGCAGGCTTTTATTAATGTCTGAGTTAAGGGTAGGAGTTCCTCATATTGAGTAAGCACATGGTGACAGAAGAAAAGTAGCGGTTCCTTTTTGACAGTGCGAAGTTATTCTGTATGAGACAATTTCTTCTTCTTTTTGAAGATGAGCAGCAGTTTTTCCTCACATTTCCAATCATCCTGGTTAGTGGTTTCTTTGCAGACGCCGTGCATGCAGAGGAGAAACTGGAAAAAACACAGGAGCCAGAGAGCAGATGTAGCAGCTACATGTAAAAACTACAGACTAATTAAAGCCAGGGATACAGGAGGTGTGCACTAGAAAAACAATCTAGAAATAAGTAAAAAAAAATCTTAATTTCAGTGGGTAAATGAGATAGTTTGCCAATGGAATCAGTATTTTTACTCTTAAAATAAGATAATTTGACAACATGCACATGAAATATGACAATTCAGGTGTGTTCTATTATTTTAAATGTAAATTGTCTTGTTCCATTGGCAAAATGTCTCCTTTACCTCCTAAATCCAAGAACAAAAGCATTTATTTTAAGAAAAAAATGAATTAATCTAGATTTTTATTTTTTCAAGTTTGTGTCATGATTGGCACCTTTATGTGCCGTTAATTTATAAAAATGATTGAATAAAATAGTGTCTGTAATTAAACTGTATCTCGTATAGATTATTCTATATCAGCTTTCTGAGAAAATTTAAAGGAAAACATCCCTACCTACCAGAACTTTAAAATAGACTGCAGAGCTGTGTGGATTAATAATAATAATATAGAAGATAGTGAGCGGATCTGTTTATGTTACTGCAACAATTTTCATGTTTAACTCTGTTTCTCCAAATTTGTTTTTAAAGTCAAAAGATGTCCTTGCCATGCAATGAAATAACATTAGTACAATAAATACATAAAATCATGAATAATGTTTCCTTTTTGTCAAATTTGATAAATAATTTATGGCTACAAGCTTTAAAAGACACAATAATTACATATTTTACTCAAAAACATTATCATATAACGAGATTTCATCTCCTTAGTCCCACTTTTTTTTTAATCTCATGTTTTTAATGAGCTAACTCACCTTTTTATTAGCTGACAATATCTGCAAACAAATGCACAATGGTACAAACACACAGCCTCCTGCACATCTAGCAGGGATGCAGCAAGCAGTTTCTAAATAGTTAGGAAGTCCTACCCCTGGAGGGCCACCTTGAAAGCCACCTTTCTGCAGCGCTAAACTAACCTGCTATATCTTATCTGCTTTGAAAAATCTATCTGTGGGTGTCATGTTTTTAAATGAGGGGTTTCATGTTTTTAAAACATACCACCACACTTCTGTCTGTGAGCTCAAGGGCAGCTATGTGGCTTGCCACCATCAGTGTGTGAATACATGTGTGATTGACCGAATTTTGCAT